ATTTTAGTGGAAAGGCAATTTTATTCGTTTGGCTGTAATTGATGTATTTGGTAAAAACATGATAGAATAACAGAATATGATAGAAGTCATTAGCCTTGTCATAGGGTACATCATCGGACACGTATTAGTTACACATAGGATACACGACACGTTGTCGTTATGTTGTATAACAATATTAACGACAGGTTTACATATAATGTCATCTGACATCTTGTCGCCCCGACAATAGCGTTTTGTGTTAACATTGAGGCAATGTTGATTGCCCTCACACTGCCTGACCTCATATACTAGCCAGATGTGCCAATGAACCACACACTCCCGGTGTGTCTAGTTAAAGATGAGCTGCCCAAACATTGACTGTTGGGAGGTGATAAAACACTTACACCACAGTGAAGGTTAGCTGCTGACATTGAACTTGAGACGGGGGTCACGTGTGGACGTGAGATGGACACCGCGGCAACATCAACACGTGCGGTGAGGGCTAACAAACATCAGTCTGTGCCAATGGAGCCAGCTAGATCAACCGCAGGAATGACGTCGCAGTGCACCCAGCATTGACCCTTGTATAGCCAGGGGATCTGTGTGTGAAGTTCCAGTGTGCGAAATAGCCACTGGCCCGCTAGCCCGTGGCTAGTCAAAATCGAGTCCGGCCAGTAAATCTCTGCAGTCACTGGCACGACTGGCTAGTGAATTTTCGTGGGGTCATTTTGTAAATACATCACTCTCTCCGACTTGTAAAGTTATAAAACACTTTTAATTCATGCAAGATTATGGCTTGATAAAAGATGGTATTTTACCTTTCTGTAATCTTTTGCTTAGTTTCTACATTCAAATTTCGGTCTAGTGAAATATTTTGTGGTCTAGTAACTTTCAGACATAGCTAGCCCGACTGGCTAGCAAAACTTGGAAACACTTTCGCACACTGGTGTAAACACAGTGACACATGTAGGGCTGAACCACCGAGACACATAAGCTAACAATTTATATCAGTATCTATAGGTATGTCAAAACAATATGTTTTGTTACCAAATCATAGAGTATACTTACATAGTTCTACAGTAGCCATATTCCGAGTTTACTCAAGAGTGCCGAGCGTATAGCGTGTCATGCACCAAGTGTACATACATACTGCTGCGCCAAGCATGCATGGACTAAATATACACAGTATTGCACCAAGCAGGTCCCGATTATATTCACATAGTTTTGCACCAGGTATACACCGAGCATACTCACTGTGCTGCTCCGTGATATACACTCTTCGCAAAAAGAAACGCACAGGCGTTTTCAGCCAAACCAAATTGATCTACGTCTGTGACAATACAATGCGCGCTCTACGTCTGTGACGATGTACACACTTCGTCTGTGACAATGTATACTCTGCGTCTGTGACAGAGGGTGACAATGTACGCTCTACGTCTGTGACAATGTACACTCTACGTCTGTGTCAATGCACACTCTACGTGTGTGACAATACAATGTATACGCTCTACGTCTTTGACAATGTACAGTCTACGTCTGTGACAATGTACGCTCTACGTCTGTGACAATGTACACACTTCGTCTTTGGCAATGTACAGTCTACGTCTGTGACAATGTACGCTCTACGTCTGTGACAATGTGCACTCTACGTCTGTGACAATGTACGATCTACGTCTGTGACAATGTACACTCTACGTCTGTGACAATGTACAGTCTACGTCTTTGACTATGTACGCTCTACGTCTGTGACAATGTACAATCTACGTCTGTGACAATGTACGCTCTACGTCTGTGACAATGTACGCTCTACGTCTGTGACAATGTACAATCTACATCTGTGACAATGTACAGTCTACGTCTTTGACTATGTACGCTCTACGTCTGTGACAATGTACACTCTACGTCTGTGACAATGTACAATCTACGTCTGTGACAATGTACAATCTACGTCTGTGACAATGTACACTGTGTGAGAGATAACGTAACCCTCCACAAGGGCCCCAATGGAACGTGTTTATGCACGGTTTGTCTTCATTAGACCTCAAGCAGTCACCTAGCCACCGTGTCACAAGAAGCCTCCAGGTGTACGGCGAAGCTGGTATCAGATGGTGCAAGACATCGACAAAAAGGTGTTTGAGTCCGTGAACGCGAAATAATGATAATGTCATAACTAGCTATAGCTGTACAGTTGCTGTGTGCGGCGTCAACAAGAAACAAAGATGATGCACGATGTTATTACGTAATGGAAGCAGACAACGCGCGCTGATAGTCGTGCTGCAGGCAGGATCCGGGTTGATCAGTGTACGTGTGTAGTCAGCTAGCTAGAAGTAGTCTTGTATTTATGGATTACAACATAATCAACATCAGTCAGCTGCAAATGGTTTACCCCTTAATATTAAGGCTGGGGAAAGGTAAGCTATACGTGGTCCTATACCTGGAAACAAAACATCCAGCAGTCCACGTGCACTTATATTGAAGGTCTCACAAGGAAAACAGTATCGATAGGATCAGCTCGATATTATAACGTGCGCGGTGACGTACGTGACCTTCAGAACAGGGAATGGCCTGAGTTGGTAACGAATGGCGCAATGACCACTAACTGGGATCCAGCCTGCAGCACGGCTGTCTGTTCGCGCCGTCTGCTGTGGATCGTGCATCATCTTTGATTGTTGTTTAATGCCGCACTCGACAATTCTACAGCAATAGCTATATATGTCATTATCATTCACAGAGTCACACACTGTTTATCGATGAATTGCACCGCCTGATACCAGTTTCGCCTTACAACTGAAGGCCGACACGGTGGTTAGCTGACGGCTTGAAATCTACTGAACACAAGCAGTTTTCCCCTGTCGTTATAACTACACGACTGTATATCATAGGATGAACCCACACACAAGGGGTGTTCTGGGAAAGGAGATCCGAGACGTGTGAACTACAACAATCCCAGTGGCATGAAACGTTACAGAGAGTTATTTGTCGGCTATGTCAGCTACTTTGTGCCACAATATCAGCCCCAACATGCACAGGACACGCATCAGAGAACATACCTTTGTATAACCTGACCCCAAAATACATAAGATTTACAACATCCTGGTTACACGTGTCTGATAGGCAACACCACGTTGACGCGAATTCAGTTGTGCAATCTCTTCCTGGTACCTTTCTTTCCACGAAGTAATCATGCTTTCAATACATTATTGTTGTTCTTTACATTGGCGGATCCAGAGGGGGGGTTCAGGGGGTTGAACTCCCCCCCCCCTTCAAAACTCCATGTCTTATATCCAGATATTACTTCTAGCCATACTAATTTCCTTCTGAAGAACAGGCTATTACCACGTAACTCTTTCATTTTCTTCGCTAGCCATCTTCCTTGTAACGCTTCCATTTTCTTTTGCTAGTCATCTGCGTGTGCGTGTGCGTGTGTGTGCGTGTGTGTGCGTGACGTAGGGGTTGTCTAGGTAACGTAATACAAAGGACAATTAATATATATCTTCATGTGTGACGGCCGTTCGTTCATCGCCCACCATAGCCTGTGAAATGTTATTGATTGTCACCAAATCACATCAATTAACACTTTCTGTCTCAAGTGGGAATGTGTGTCACGGTATTAAGTCATCAACTGTCCTAATGCCTTCATCAATACCTGATTGCCCCAGAGACTGATGAAGCATTGACTGTTCCACATACCCTAGGGCAAGTGACCCGACCTCGGTAATGTATGCCACTGACTCCCACCATGGATACTAAGATGCCACTTATATATTTCTGTATATATATAAATCAAATCCTTAAATCCTGCGGTCTTCTCTGTTGAAATCAACGGCTAATTCATTCTGTCAGTCTTAAGTCAAAGCATAAACAATGTGCTTTACTAATCTAGACTTACACCCTCAATTATCCGAAGTATTATGTGTCTATTGAAAGAGACTGCAGATCGAATACACAGGGTAATCGAGGTTGGCTTGACATGGCACCGGGTTGTCTTGCTAATCATTGGTACAAACTTGCCATTTCTATATGTAAACTTTTCCGTGTATTCTGTCTCAGAGTCCCCGAACTATACTGTTTTCCATTCCGCCCACCCTGGCTGTCATACAACAACCCTTTATGAAGCAAGTCTGGGCCTCATTTTCAGTTTCAATAGATTTCGAATTGTTTGTTCCTTTCAAAATAATATAGTTAGACAAAGCGTCTATTTCCATTGCTGCACAGCGCCTGAAAGCTGGGTTCATGACCTCTCCCAGCGTAACGATGCTTCAAAAAGCGATTAAAGGTTATATGGCAACCCTAATTCTGTACTGTAAAAGCAGTGGGGCTCCATAATCGCCACCGTAACGCTGTTTTAAATGTTAATGCTTCAAGTATTGAGATAATGTAGCGGACCGGGCAGGCCGTCGGTGTTCGATAATTTGGGAGGTTCGGAAATAGAATACAGTTATGTTGAACGTTAAAGGTGACAATCGATGAACGTCCACTTAGAGGCGTGTATAGACTAACAAATAGTCTCTGAAATGAACATATTTTACTGAAATAGTATACTGTATATATATATATAATGAAAAGGAGCCCTGAGACTTTCTTCATTTTCAGAGACCCTGAAGCTGAGGAAATCTAGACTTGCCACATTTTCTAGACTTGCGTGGGCTTTCTTGGATATATTTACTTCAGGGTCTGTACGACAAGGCGTGTACAACAGCGGGAAGTACCGTGGAACACTCAATCAATGTATGTCATATATGCCACGCAAATGTCGATCGCCCTAAATACAGCCTTATTCCTCCATTGCTAACAATATGTAAATACGTTCATTTTAATATTCCATAACTAACAGTGGAAACAGATGGCCTGTACAGCTGAATGTGGAAGACAAAGAGAAGCAATTAGCTCTGTCCAAGGACGCTGACGAAGGACTATTGACGTATTGACTGTAAAATATAGGCTGAAAATATGAGAACATCGATGGAACAGTACTTACATATGATCAAGTGATAGACAATACATATATGAAGATGTTTTACCTGAAACTAATGTTATCTCCAGAATATATCCCACTATCCAGATATACATCACAGCGCTACAACATGTCATCACGTTGCCGGTCGCAATACACTGAGTGGAATTCCCTGACATGTGAAGTACCAGCCTCGCTCTGAGGTTGTATTGATTGTGACGTCAGAGTTGTTTCCACAAATAGGTCTGAGGGTAGGGTTACATCTACTGGGAATTGTCGGAACATTCTCGACTAGACTTGTCATGATGAGGTTGGGGTTCATCGTGTTTTGTTTTTCAGGCTTCCGGGAATTGCGCGTGTTTGTTTGTGTTCAACTCTCTGGATCACAACGCGTCTCGACATGCGATACGAGTCCATTCAACGTTCTTAGGTACCGTGCATTTCAGGTTTGTTTTAATGTGACCGTCAGTTTTTGAAAAATAGAACATGTTTCAGGAAATACAGAAAAGATCATTTTACCAGATGAAGAAATATATTGTCATGAAGCAGTGGCAGAGAAGATATTTTACGCCGCAGACATGTCCACATGCTTTTATGGCCCCCGCTTGGGAAATAGAGGAATTCTGACACTCATCTCATCACAAATTTGTATGTCACACATGCCAGTGTAATATAGAACCAGAGACCATATTCCGGTATATGGTCTCTGATAGAACACTCGACAATGAGACAGTAGTATGACTGTGGTCTGTAAGTAATCGACAGACAGTCTAGTGATTGACATCAAGAGCATCTATCAATACATTTGGGATACGATGTCTTGAGCATCAACAAAGTCAGCGAGTCTGACCACGGGATTCCATAAGTCCCATATGCTTTATACTGCATTTGACACATACACGCTTGTGTGGAACACGAACTATAGCTGAACAGACGAGTTGAATCAATTTTACTATAGCTGAATAGATGCATATAACATTGCTGGTATGACGTTACCCCGTCTGTGTGGAACACGAACTATAGCTAAACAGATGCATATAAAATTGCTGGTATGACGTTACCCCGTCTGTGTGGAACACGAACTATAGCTAAACAAATGCTTATAACATTGCTGGTATGAAGTTACCCAATCTGTGTGGAACACGAACTGTAGCTAAACAGATGCTTATATAACATTGCTGGTATGACGTTATCTCTTCTGTGTGGAACACGAACTGTAGCTAAACAGATGCATATAACATTACTGGTATGACGTTATCTCTTCTGTGTGGAACACGAACTGTAGCTAAACAGATGCATATAACATTGCTGGTATGACGTTATCTCTTCTGTGTGGAACACGAACTGTAGCTAAACAGATGCATATAACATTGCTGGTATGACGTTACCCCGTCTGTGTGGAACACGAACTATAGCTAAACAGATGCATATAACATTGCTGGTATGACGTTATCTCGTCTGTGTGGAACATCAACTATAGCTAAACAGATGCATATAACATTGCTGGTATGACGTTACCCAATCTGTGTGGAACACGAACTATAGCTAAACAGATGCATATAACATTACTGGTATGACGTTACTCCGTCCGTGTGGAACACGAACTGTAGCTAAACAGATGCATATAACATTGCTGGTATGACGTTACCCAATCTGTGTGGAACACGAACTGTAGCTAAACAGATGCATATAACATTGCTGGTATGACGTTACCCCGTCTGTGTGGAACACGAACTATAGCTAAACAGATGCATATAACATTGCTGGTATGACGTTATCTCGCCTGTGTGGAACACGAACTGTAGCTAAACAGATGCATATAACATTGCTGGTATGACGTTATCTCTTCTGTGTGGAACACGAACTGTAGCTAAACAGATGCATATAACATTGCTGGTATGACGTTATCTCTTCTGTGTGGAACACCAACTGTAGCTAAACAGATGCATATAACATTGCTGGTATGACGTTATCTCTTCTGTGTGGAACACGAACTGTAGCTAAACAGATGCATATAACATTGCTGGTATGACGTTATCTCTTCTGTGTGGAACACCAACTGTAGCTAAACAGATGCATATAACATTGCTGGTATGACGTTATCTCGTCTGTGTGGAACATCAACTATAGCTAAACAGATGCATATAACATTACTGGTATGACGTTATCTCTTCTGTGTGGAACACGAACTGTAGCTAAACAGATGCATATAACATTGCTGGTATGACGTTATCTCTTCTGTGTGGAACACGAACTGGTTAGCTTAAACAGATGCATATAACATTGCTGGTATGACGTTACCCCGTCTGTGTGGAACACGAACTATAGCTAAACAGATGCATATAACATTGCTGGTATGACGTTATCTCGTCTGTGTGGAACATCAACTATAGCTAAACAGATGCATATAACATTGCTGGTATGACGTTACCCAATCTGTGTGGAACACGAACTATAGCTAAACAGATGCATATAACATTACTGGTATGACGTTACTCCGTCCGTGTGGAACACGAACTGTAGCTAAACAGATGCATATAACATTGCTGGTATGACGTTACCCAATCTGTGTGGAACACGAACTGTAGCTAAACAGATGCATATAACATTGCTGGTATGACGTTATCTCGCCTGTGTGGAACACGAACTGTAGCTAAACAGATGCATATAACATTGCTGGTATGACGTTATCTCTTCTGTGTGGAACACCAACTGTAGCTAAACAGATGCATATAACATTGCTGGTATGACGTTACCCAATCTGTGTGGAACACGAACTGTAGCTAAACAGATGCATATAACATTGCTGGTATGACGTTATCTCTTCTGTGTGGAACATCAACTATAGCTAAACAGATGCATATAACATTGCTGGTATGACGTTACCCCGTCTGTGTGGAACACGAACTGTAGCTAAACAGATGCATATAACACTGCTGGTATGACGTTATCTCGCCTGTGTGGAACACGAACTATAGCTAAACAGATGCTTATAACATTGCTGGTATGACGTTATCTCGCCTGTGTGGAACACGAACTGTAGCTAAACAGATGCATATAACATTGCTGGTATGACGTTACCCCGTCTGTGTGGAACACGAACTGTAGCTAAACAGATGCATATAACATTGCTGGTATGACGTTATCTCGCCTGTGTGGAACACGAACTATAGCTAAACAGATGCATATAACATTGCTGGTATGACGTTACCCCGCCTGTGTGGAACACGAACTGTAGCTAAACAGATGCATATAACATTGCTGGTATGACGTTACCCAATCTGTGTGGAACACGAACTGTAGCTAAACAGATGCATATAACATTGCTGGTATGACGTTACCCCGCCTGTGTGGAACATCAACTGTAGCTCAACAGATGCATATAACATTGCTGGTATGACGTTACTCCGTCCGTGGTAACAGTAACTATAGCTAAACAGTCGCTTGACAGCGGTACAAGAATCTGAATCGAAACGTCGCACTAAATAACAAACCTGAAAGAAGTTGTTATCCATTAGGTTTGTTCAATATTCATTAAATTGATCTGTAGATTTGACAATGTCAAACTAGATTTGCCCATTCTCTCTATAGGCTACTTGAGTTAGACTCCATATTTTATTTATTCCCTGGGGTCCCACCCACACTCAACCTAATACAGGAAGTGGAAGACATCCTGCAGTGACGTATCACGTGGCAGACTTCAGTGAAGACATGAAGGGAGCTGCACATTACACACAAGTTATTTTCTTCTTGGAAAGGGGCTGATAACACTCGACCTCCATGATAGCCGTAATACAGGATGTACTTCACTTGGTCGTATCCTGTGTTGACGAGTACATATCTACATTGTAAACATATCAAATATACGTGTTGTGCAAACGTTCCATACAGGAATATCGACGTGGCTCACAACAGGTCCTGTGGTTTGCTCACTCTAACATACTAGATTAACAGTAGTGACCTTAACTACTGACATGGCTTACTTTGCATGTAGAACAAGTCCATTACTTTCTCTATGCTCACGTCACCAGTTGCCACGTGACATTTGGGTTTGTATCGCTTGTGGGGTCAAGCAGTGCATTGTCTTGAATCCCCGCAATAAGATTATATTCTTGATTTTCTATTAACATACCCTTATATTAACATATCCTTATCACGCGATTAAACCTATTGTATTTTCATCGTTTGTCTTTTTACCAACATGTATGTTTCTTATTAATTCGATAATAGAAAATTGATATGACTAGAACGCCACGTATCTAACCTGGTTGTATATGACGATATATACACCTTCAACTTGAAAATCAGTCTATTTAGCCAGTTCATATTGTTGTAGTAAGCATCAATATTTTGTCTGAGTGAGTGAGTGAATGTGTCTGCTGTGAAATATTACCATTATATCATCATCCGCGAAGACACGACCCTGGAACAGGCGAACCAGTGATTAATAGCAAGAGCAACGGTGACGGTTGTCGATTTACGGCGATACACAATATAACCAAAAAAAACCAACCCACTGACAAACCCCCACACACACCCACACACACACACACTCTTTATTATCAGAAATAAAAGACCACGATTGGTACAGATCGACCTACATAAGCCACGTGGTCAAGGCATCACGGTTGTTTTCACATACAGCTTCATTCACCATACTAACAGAAAAACAAGGTTTATGGATTGAGTCAAAAGTTGATAACATCGTGATTTTGTGTTTATAGGAACTACGGTTTATTACTTCTTGCTGTTTGATAGTCCCTATACATACAACAAGCGTGGACAGTCTCTGGCAATCTTCTTAGGATGAAGCCAGCAGGGGTCACAGTTGAGACGCTAGTGTTTCCCCCAGACCCTATAGATTAGATAGGTGTCCTACTCAAGTCCAGAACGATGTAGCAAGTCTCAGCTCTTGAAAGTAAGGATTGTTCTGGGCTCCATTTGGATATGTGTTTTGTATGTGTATCTTGAACTCCCCCCACACACTGGAACTGACAAACGATGGTGACTTACATGGCCGGTGTCTTCAACAATGTAAGGTGACAAATCGTGAAGATGTAATTCACTGTTAACACACAATTTGGGTCATTTGGTATTTTTTACTAATAAACTATTCATATCCCCACTTCCAACAAATTAGTATTCATATAATGGCATATTTCTGACAAAGTATTAATTTGAACAAATCCCCC